ATAAACTCAACTTACTAGCCTAAAATCTCCGTAGCGTGTTGCCAGGCGGCAGAAAGCATATATATAATTATAATAAAGTTACAATAAATTAAGTTAATATATAATTATATATACAGTACCTAAATTATATATAATTAATATATGATTATATATACAATACCTAATTTATATATAATTAATATATGATTATATGTACAGTACCTAATTTATATATAATACTGTACAGACAATAGTAATCTCTCCATAGCATGGCGCTTGACGACGCGGAAAGTAGTTCGGCTGCCCGATGACGTTTTACGTAATTATAGGAGGTTTTTTTACCGTTTTTTACGGATACCGTCGCAATTTTTTCGCTGTCTTATAGGAATCGTAATTATAGGAACCCGTTTTATAGGGGGGTCTACTGTATAGTATTATTACTTTAAGAAATAATTTTTATATATAGGAAAGTAAAAAGTTAAGATTTCTTTGAATATAAATAATTTACAATACAGATGTAACATAATATATTTGACAGACTTGTCTGTCGAAGTATTTCTTACTGATAGAGATGCTTATATTTGTTCCACTTTCTTAATCTAAGTGTTATAGTTATATTAAAGCCAAACAATTTTCAGATTAGACTGGGCTATATTATATAGCATTTAATTATTAACAGTAGCAAGAATCAGAACTTTGATAGAAGATTCCTCCTGCAGATGTAGCCAACAGTTGGTTTCTTCTAAGGTGTCTTTATTAGAGTGGAAGCATAGGCCTTGAAGAAGCTTCAATATGTAAACACTGTCTTTGAGGAAGTAAAAATATCGTTTGGCCCATTTTGATTATTCACTATGCTAACCTGGCCATTTCTGAATTTGCATCACTTCCATAACATTACATTGTTTTTATGTGAGGTTCTTAAACTGCTATGAACTGATAATGGATTTTCATGGATTGGATATCTTTTGCACATAAAAACAAACATCATACTTTTTTGTAAATTTGTTCAGAACAATAGCCATTACTAAATTGACACAATCCAAGCATCAGCATCCTGTTATTTACTGAAGATAACAGTATTGGATACAGATACCAATAATAGTATACTATGGACTTACATTAAATGGGATTATATAAAAAGGAAATCTTATTTTCCAACATACCCTTATGTATATGATCCATATAATGCAATACATTCAATGTTGATTTGTACCATTCTCTTTTCATGAAGAGAATCAATAAAGAAAAGGAACATATTGTCACAAATATAATGTTAATGTTTTCAAAATTTTTTTGTATTGTTTGTTCTTAAATAAATAAATAAAATTTTGAAATTTTAAACAAATTAACTGTCATCTTATTCATGACAGTAAATTTACAGTACTTGCACTCAATGTTCACTTGTCATAAGGTAAGAAATGGAGAATCATTTACAATTTGTAAGAAAACTTTTCATTTGAACAAAGAACTCCATTTGAGGTATGCTCTACAAAGATCAGTAGATAAACTTTAAAAAAACATCTTGACATATGCTTTTAAACATCATTCTGCTTAAAATGCAAAGGCAATAAATTTACACATCCTATACTTGCATATATTCACTACTTCATGGGTCCTTCTTTTGCAATATATACATTGGCAACTAGTTTAAGCATTGATGTGAATAGTCATGAAAAAGGTCTTGTGGAAGATGAAGTACTTTTCCTGAAGTACTGTATTCAACTGATATTTTATTCAGGGTTTTACTTTCACATCTTTTTTTCTGGACATGCCACAGCTCTGAGTTGATTGGGCAAATTTGGACTCATTCCAGGACTTGGACCCAACTTTAGTGAAGCCAAGCAGTGAAGTATGTGGCTTGGCAAGATTTTGTTGGAAGATTACATTTCTCTGTAGACATAGGCAGGCCACAGGAGAAGGAAATTCTGGGGTAAAATTGCTATATGGCATTTTTACCCCAGAACCTTATGGCATTATGGAACCTTATGGCATTTGGTTCCATAAGATGTGACTGTCAATGCACAAAGCCAGAATATCAAAACACTCTTACACTTACATCATAGTTAGAAACTTCTTCCTTCATTTGGCTGTCTGGTGATTCCATCAGATACTTCCTTATAAGACCAGGAAGGATGACTTGTTAGATCAAATAGCCCTTTACCATTGCATTTTCTTTCAGGACAGATGGTTTCTGCAAATCCTACATCGAGTTATTATTAACATAAGCTTCATCTTACTCTTGTACAGTACAAGCCATAACTCATGCCATGTAGCCTGTTGTTAACAGTTTGAGATACAGGGTGATCTGTATTCACTCTACAATTTACCTCCATGGACATATCAGGTTAGACATGGACATTTCATGACAAGATGACAAAAATTTTGCTATTCTCTGGCAGTTCTCTGCATCTGGGTGGTTTCTTCATAGTGACTAAATGAGTCTTTCAGGACATTCCTTAAACACAATTCCTGAGAAATTGCTGCATAGCCATTCCATTGTTGTTTCTAGAGGATCTGTTCATGTATCAGCAGTCTTAACCACTTTCTTGTGATAGTGCTGTTCAGAATTCAAAACAATCATTTTATATTGCCCTGTATTTGCATATTTTACACTATGCAAGGTGTACAAATCCAAATAGCAAAAACTTGCATGTCCACCCAAGTAATGAGCACAAGTGCATGGTTTGTGTAAATTCATTTCCATCATGTTTTGATCAGAATGATGTTTACAAGGCTACATTGACCGACATCTGAATGTATGTATTGATCCTTGTTGTAGAACATAGTTCAAGTGGAGTACTTTGCAATTTGTATAAAACATTTTACTGAACAAGCCATTCTTTTCTTACTATTTGACAACTGTACATATGGTGCATGTACTGTACAGTACATTTAGTGCCACAGATAAGATATTTTGAAATTTTGCTAACTTTATTTAAGCAAATTATTTTATTACAATAAATAAATCCATTATTTGGAATAACGTTTTGTATATAAATTCTTTTCAATTAAATAAAATATTTTTAATAATGTGATTTTATAAACTAATAATAATAGCAATTGTTTTAATAATAGTAATCTAATCTTTTCAAAATATTTAATAAACTTGAATTATCTTGAGTTAAAAATGCATACATGATTTATTTATCATATTGCTTTTTCAGAAAATCTACAATTTCCAAGAAGATCAGTTTTAGAAGTAATCATTATACATACAAGACAACTAATTCGACTCATGTATTCATTGGGTTATGGACATTGTGCATTTATTAATGTAGACGAATTATTACTTTAATTTTATATACATATATATTTATATTTTATCTGCTTTTAAACATTTAAAAATAACTTAAATGTCTAAATAATTTAAATATATTTTAATGTAATAGTAAAATATTTTCAAAATATGATCTTATTTTATAACTCCACGAAGATTTTTTATTATTTGAATAGAATATTGACAAAAGGAAAAATCAATCTGGAGTACAGATAATATAAAACTTTAAAATTTTTAAAAATTGTAAACAATTAAAATTTTAATGACAGACAGAATAAAAATAAAAATCACATATCTTAATATCTAATAGATGTGAATTTTTGCAACATCAAATGTGAAAATATATTTAGAATAGTCGACATTTCAATTATAAAATACATATATATTCATATATGAATATGATTAACATACTCAGATTTACTATGATATTTTTGACAGAAAAATTATGCAAGAGTTAAGAAAAACTTCCTTTTTCCAGTCCATTTTTAAAAAATTTCATCTAGATCTAGTCTTCTATACTCAATATTTAAAAATAAATTGAGAGCTCAACAGAAATAACTCGCAGTATTTACATTGCTCCAGAAATTTGAAATTAAATGTTTGTATATGTTTCTCTCTTAGAAAATTAAATCCTAATTTTATTCTAAACATTTAATGAGAATAGATAGTATGATTAAAAATTTTTATTCTGATTTTTACCTTTTTAAAGTACTTATTAGAATTATATAAATATACATACAGTTTGTAACACACTTTTTTTTTTATATTTCATTAGATCATTTATTGTCTATGTATCAATCTGTCCTAACTTATATGATCTAAATCTTAACTACAAAAGTACTATAAAATAAAATTTGTATTTATATAGATGGTGTTGATTATTTTTTGCATTAAAAACAGATTTTATGATTGATTAATTTTAGCCCATTCGAGCAGATGCATCAAGTGAACGTGACAATTTTTCCATTCCAAGATCATTTATCGAAGCTTCATAAATTAACTTTGACACAGCAAGTATTTCTGATGGTGGATATTTTGCATAAAATGCTCTGGGAGTCAAACAACTTTTCCGTGAACGATAAACATAAATAGGTGCTTGAATTCGTGCAGAACGTTTTTGTATTTTTCCTCGAGCTCCAGAACGAATTCTGTGATCATATTTATCATTAGCATAGCCTAAAAATGTGAAAACAAAATATATATCAATTTTATTGTTTTTTAAAAAATATTACATAAATAATATGAATTAAATTGTATTACATGAAATAATGTATAATTTCAACTTAATTCCGTAATAATTCAATGAAAAACAAAGATATTTGAAGTGTTTTATACTTTGAATTATATATAGTAAAATGATATTATATCTACTACATATGTAAATTAAAATTTTATTAAAATTAAAAAAGAACATTAAAAAATAAATTATGAATTTTGTTATACAAAATATTATTAGAAAACAAACCATAGTACTTATATCTGTTAGAGAATTGGTTTTAAATGGATATTCAACAAATCTATATTGACTGAGTTTTCAATTTTATTTACTTAATGATTCTGATATATAAAATAGTTTATATTTATATTAATAGACGAAATTATGGAAAATAAGTTTCTTAAATCAAATGTCATTACTTCAATTAAATTTAAAAATAAAATTTAGTATTTATATAACTATGAAGCAAACTTTTTCATTAGTAAATTTTAATTTTTAAATCAATGAAAACATGTTTAATATTGAATGATGAATACACAATGATTTGTTGTATATAAAATCAAAACATCCATTTTTAGGTTAAGAAATTACAATAAGATCACTAAAATCACAATTCTACCACAATGTTTTTATATATTATTAGAAAACATATTAAAAATGATATATATAGTAGAGCGTCGATTTTTCGAAAGTCAATCATCCGAAAGAATTCCAGTCGGCAAATTTAAATTTTCGCCAGTGCTGTGGTGCTTTAATCTTTGTCTATGTCTTGGGCTACTCAAATATTTTACGTTTTTGATACTAAATTAACATCTGAAGTATAATTTTTTATTGTTTATATATTTTTCAATATATTTATTTTGTTTGTACAAAAGAAAAAAAAATTTTTACGATACAATATTCTTCGTTAGGCTTAACATCGACGAAAATTCAACGCGAAGCGACACGCAACGGAGAAAAATTTCAACATCGGATACGTTAAACTATTTTTTCGTACATAAATCGGTTATCCGAAATATCAATTATACGAACAACCCCAGTCCCCAATTGATTCGGAAAATCGACGCTCTACTGTATTTACCTAGAAGGTTACATTTTCCTGTTAACATTTCATTATCCATTATTAAATTTATTAATTTTTGCATTATTTAAAGCATTATTAAAATTAAAGATACTTTACATGATGATATAAAAAAAATAAGTTCAAAATTATAGTTACATATATAGTATGTCCAAAGTACATTACAAGTTACATTTTTAAAGAAACTAAGATTATTTCAAAAACAGAAGCAGTTTGATTTGATAGAAAAAAGTGATATTAAAAATATATTCAAATGATATTTGCTGAAAACATGAATAATGCTTTCTTAAATGTTTTTTTAAAGTTGTTATACAAATTTAAAACAAAAAAGTTTAAATTTAATCTTCCATAATTCTTGCAAAAATTCTCAAATCATTATTTGTTTTTAGACTAGAAAATAGAAGTTTATCTATTTACAGAATTGATATCTTGCAAAGAGAGAGTTTACATCATATTTATCTTGATTTGATAACAGGCTTATTTTAGATATGGTTTGATCATCTGAATTTTATGTCAGTTTTAATTTTTAATGCTATTGATGCTGATGTTCTTATAATTAAAAGAAACTTTCGGTTAAATTTATTAATTTTATTTAAAATGTTTCCATGTATGAAGATTTCAATGCAGAATTTATTGATATTAAAACAGTTACGCATAAAATCTTTAATTCCTAAGAATTAAAATAATATTTAGGAACTTCTGGCTCAATATATATAAAAAGATATTTAAAGTACATTGAGATTGCAACAGATGCTATGTTGTAATAGTAATCAGATGCTGTAAAAACTCTTTCCTAAAGAAACATATGCCGTGCCAATAAAACAAATGAACTAAAAAAAATTAATTCTGAGAAGTAATGAAAATATAACTGAAAAATAAGTTCTCATTAATAATGTTTTATTGTAATTGAATATAATAATTCATATTTAATAATTATATACATATGTATATTTTACTAAAACCATACAAATGATCCTATAAACTTTTGTTTTCATATAAGGTATTAAGTATTACTTGAAGTTTGTTATCAGAATATTTTCATTATATGACAGAAGATGTGTTTGTAATTTTAAAACTTAAAAGTATCTTTTTGTAAAAATCTAAAAGAAAAAAAAAATATGATCTTGTCTACATGAATATATCTTAGTAAATATGACAAATCTGATTAACAAATGATCAGTACCGATTTAAAGTAATATATCTCAATAATATTGATACAAATATATTATAACAATTATAAAATTACATGAATTAATACAGGATAGTGTAATTTCTTGATTTTGAATAATTGTACTATGTACAAAATGATTCATTTTTGTGTATCTTGTCTCAAACAGCAGATTCCTGTCTACTAGAATCAGATATAATTGACTGATTGGCTATTTGTAAATATTGAAAGAATAAAAGACTTAAATTTTGCTAGATAAAACTAATTTTGTAGTAGAAAAAGGAATATAAAAATATATATACGAATATTAATACTCTTTTAAACAGATATCTAATTTTATCTGTTTTAAGCAATTATCTAAGAATATCACTTGCATATTTGTATTTAAAAACTATTTTTATTGGAAATAATTTCATAAATTATTAAGTTGTAGATTACAGAAAATTTAAATTAACATGGTTTAAACAAATTAACCAATTTATAATGTCAAATTATTTATAGAATAAATTTTATTAGGATAAACTTAAGCTTAATTTCATTATAATCAATTTTTTTTAATAGAAATAATTGTAATTTTTGATATGTTATTACAGGAACTTTGAAAATTTAAAAAAAATTTAAATAAAATTACTTATTTTTTCCTTAAAAATATGTATGTTCCTGCAGACAAAAATTATCATACTTCTACAAAAAGTGTAGCTATTGTCTATAAAAGTGACTATCTTTATGATTTACTCTCTTATCTGCAAAGTATCAGTTTAAAGCACATGATCTTCATAATTGTGTCAAAACAGAAAAAAACTTGATAGCTATGCTGTCACCTATGAAACACTATTATAAAGCAATATTGAAGTAGACATTTATATTCTAATCTTATTTCATTTATCAAAGATTTTTGAATTCTTAATAGAAGACAATATATTATAACTGTAAAATTTACTATATTAAAATAAAAACTTGCACTGAACTGTATTTACACAATGTTAAAAATAGACTATGATCATAGCAATCAAAAATAAAACATGAATAATACAAGAAAAAAGAATTTTTGTTAGTTTTGGAAAGGAACTTTTAGACTTCACCTGCTTTACTATTGGCAATATTTCCAGGATTTAGTTTTTTTTTTATTTTGCATTTCTTTGCAAGTTACATCAACTTTGACTTTAACTTACCTAGAAAGCTTGTAAATTAGTACCTTATTACAAAAATAATTATGGTATATAAATTGTTTTTATATATTTTATAGTTAAGAACATAATTACCTATTTTCAGATTCATTAGTATCAATGTCAAAATCCAAAATATTCCCATATAAATTCTGAACGATGGCTCCATCCTTAAACTAAAGCTTTGTCTACTTATACATCAACTAATTTTATTATCAGAATTGCAGCTGAGAAAACAAGCAATTGAATAAATATGTTAATAATAAATCTCCTCCTGTTTGTTAGAATTCTGTGCAAATATATACATTAATATATAGGCTACCACTACTATCCCAGCGGATAATTTCAGTTCGTATGAAGATAAATATTCAAAAATATGATAAATAGAAATATAGAATGTCTGTAGAATTTTATCAGCTTTAAAGCAGTAGTAATAAATTTATAAAGAATGAATTATTTTAAGAATATTTTAATTTGCGATATGTCTACGAAGGGTGTAAAGATTTAAAAAAAAAACCCTACAATTAAGGCGTTATGAAAATTAATCGATTGATTAACACGTGAAAGTATATTTTTCATGTAACCGGGAGCTTAAATTGGGTACAAAAGCAGAATTTTCATTTGACCTTGATCGAAAACTTTGGCAAATATAAGCAGTGTAACTATTTACAAACGTTAAAACGTCACAGCACGTGAGCCGAATTTAAACCACGAAGAACAAATAAAGCAGTATATTTAAGACCAAAAAAAAAAAAAAAAATATATATATATAAGAAAAAATTAATATGAGAGATACTGATTTATTTTCGTATCATTCAACTCATTTAACGAGAAAAATTTAATGGAACATATCGATCTTCCGGATAGTAAAAACCGGGATGAAAGATGCATCACGTGATAGCGTAAGCATTATATATCACGTGACAATCAGATCTACAAACTCGTGCAAGATGGCGCCGATTTTGTCGCGGCTGCTTTCCCATCGTAAACATTCTTCAAAAAGTAGTTTTACAGACGATTTTACGGATTATCAAAGGTAATTTTATTATAATTAATTAATTTCTAACTTGAACGGATTTTTTTAACGTCTCCCGACATTCGCTTCATTAAACGTTATGCCATATTGTAGTTTTAATGAATGTTTTTGATGGAAATTAATAATTAAAACGTAAAATGTTTTTTATATAAAGATGCTTAATCAGTGTTTGTGTGTTTACTTTGCATTATTGTTTACATTTTTCACAGGAAATGTGTCCACGTGTGACGCAAAACCGGGAAATGCTGCATTCTGATTTATTGTTTTTATTCTCTCTCAAACGTTTTATCAAGAAAAATGAATGATTTATTATTATCATAATTTTATTTTGATTTTCTAAATGAAACGTTTGATCTTCTTCCTTTTTTCTTTTTTTAAAAAAAAGGAAGAAGAATTGTACTTCGTTAAAAGCTTGAAGATTAGAAAAATTGCAATTGACAAATATTTTTTGAAATTGAACATTTAATTGTCACTTTGTAATAAAAAAAAAATCATTTTCATCCTCTGTTGTAAAAACGTTAGTGATGAGACTTTAATATGGTCTACCACTCTGTATTGAAAGAAATGTCTGAGAAGAAATTGATATGCTTAGTTTTATGGGTTTATATGCCGTTTTATGGCTTTATATAGTATCAAAGTTCCAGAGGTTTAAAGATTGATTAATATCTATGTTTAAACACAAGCTGTATTTATAATCTTCTTATCGGAAATATTAAGAAAAGAAGCACTTTTAATTATAAATGATCATAACTATATGAATTTCCTTAGAATTTATGTTTAATATTAAATTATTAAGCAAATGAAATGAATTGGAATTATATATATGTATATTCTCATGAGAGAAGAGGAGAAAACTTTTTTAAATCATAGTTTATTATTAGATCCATGTTATGATACATTTTATATATATATATATTACTTGAAGTTTGTTATCAGAATATTTTCATTATATGACAGAAGATGTGTTTGTAATTTTAAAACTTAAAAGTATCTTTTTGTAAAAATCTAAAAGAAAAAAAAAATATGATCTTGTCTACATGAATATATCTTAGTAAATATGACAAATCTGATTAACAAATGATCAGTACCGATTTAAAGTAATATATCTCAATAATATTGATACAAATATATTATAACAATTATAAAATTACATGAATTAATACAGGATAGTGTAATTTCTTGATTTTGAATAATTGTACTATGTACAAAATGATTCATTTTTGTGTATCTTGTCTCAAACAGCAGATTCCTGTCTACTAGAATCAGATATAATTGACTGATTGGCTATTTGTAAATATTGAAAGAATAAAAGACTTAAATTTTGCTAGATAAAACTAATTTTGTAGTAGAAAAAGGAATATAAAAATATATATACGAATATTAATACTCTTTTAAACAGATATCTAATTTTATCTGTTTTAAGCAATTATCTAAGAATATCACTTGCATATTTGTATTTAAAAACTATTTTTATTGGAAATAATTTCATAAATTATTAAGTTGTAGATTACAGAAAATTTAAATTAACATGGTTTAAACAAATTAACCAATTTATAATGTCAAATTATTTATAGAATAAATTTTATTAGGATAAACTTAAGCTTAATTTCATTATAATCAATTTTTTTTAATAGAAATAATTGTAATTTTTGATATGTTATTACAGGAACTTTGAAAATTTAAAAAAAATTTAAATAAAATTACTTATTTTTTCCTTAAAAATATGTATGTTCCTGCAGACAAAAATTATCATACTTCTACAAAAAGTGTAGCTATTGTCTATAAAAGTGACTATCTTTATGATTTACTCTCTTATCTGCAAAGTATCAGTTTAAAGCACATGATCTTCATAATTGTGTCAAAACAGAAAAAACTTGATAGCTATGCTGTCACCTATGAAACACTATTATAAAGCAATATTGAAGTAGACATTTATATTCTAATCTTATTTCATTTATCAAAGATTTTTGAATTCTTAATAGAAGACAATATATTATAACTGTAAAATTTACTATATTAAAATAAAAACTTGCACTGAACTGTATTTACACAATGTTAAAAATAGACTATGATCATAGCAATCAAAAATAAAACATGAATAATACAAGAAAAAAGAATTTTTGTTAGTTTTGGAAAGGAACTTTTAGACTTCACCTGCTTTACTATTGGCAATATTTCCAGGATTTAGTTTTTTTTTTATTTTGCATTTCTTTGCAAGTTACATCAACTTTGACTTTAACTTACCTAGAAAGCTTGTAAATTAGTACCTTATTACAAAAATAATTATGGTATATAAATTGTTTTTATATATTTTATAGTTAAGAACATAATTACCTATTTTCAGATTCATTAGTATCAATGTCAAAATCCAAAATATTCCC